CATCTTCACAGCAGCAGATCTCAGTTCAGATGATACTCCTCCAGATATTCCTGCTTGCTTCAAAACGTAGTCACGACTGTGAAGATGAGAATATTAATTGAACAGTTTTTCTACTTACAGAAACAACATCTCTAACAGATTGTATTAAACAGCATCACAATAAAACAAAACAGAGAGCGTGGTGAAACTAATCTTCTTCCTCTGAGGTTTAATGGTGTTTGGCAAACAAACGCATGTGTTTACCGCCACCCGCTGGACTGGAGTGTGAAGCGAGAGGAGGGAAATAATACGGGGAATATTTACGTAGAGCGTCTAAAAGGTGAGCTGATTTGTTTTCCGTACAAAAAGCCGATCTGCACAAATAAATTAAAAGACATTTAATTTATAGACTCGCGTGGTATTTGATCAGCATCAACAGTCTTTGTGTGTGAGGATCAGAGGAGAAAAACGAGCGAATTTATTAGTCAAATATTTCATTGAAATCCACACAATGTTGCAGCATGTAAATATGGAAATTAAGATAAATGAAAACACGTCATAATGATAAGATGTAGCCTTATGAAAAAAACGAACTAAAAGTTTAGCATGGAAAAACAACATCCTTGGTTTATGTGTCCATCTAAATATCTGAAACTTAAACAGTTGAATGAACGGTAAATAAGATATTTTGAAGATGTTTCTGAAAAGCTGTTTACTTGATATTGAAACTGATATTGCATTTTGCAGTGTCTAACATCAGATTCTGTGGTGAAGAGAATTACTAAAGAGGATAATGCTTTATATCCCCTCCAATTTTACAAGAAGCCGTGAGACCCAAATTTAGAGCCATAACTTTATTGTGTTAAAGTAATTTTTATTTGGTACTAAAGAAATGTAAAATCTGGGTACTGTAATCATACATTAATGGACAGCATTAATCCTATTTAATCTTACATATGATTGTTGATGTGCTAAGCTTTTCTTATTATTAATTAAAAAATAGATAAAACAAGATATATATATCATTGTTATGTATATCATTATTATTAAATATATATATATGAAGAGAGCGTGAGGTAATGAGTAGTGTTCTATAAATAGTCACCACACCCCCATCCTAAAGCCCTCTGTTTCACCCATGTGATGTGCCGCCACACAGCAAACGGTGCTAATATGCAGTTTATAGCATCATTGAGGATTTTAGGTGATTGAGATTTTATTTTAATTGAATTTTACCAGTGTTTTATGATCAAGTTTATATATATATATATATATATATATATATATATATATATATATATATATATATATATATTTAATAATAATGATTAGGCATCCAGAAAGATCATTTCCATGCTGCTTATACTACCCTGCTGAAAAAAAAGCAAAAAAACAATAGACACCATCTTAAAATTTGTAATGATTGTACTGATTTTACTGGAAACTGTAATGGACCCTGTTGGTCTCTACTGGGAATTGGTCAGCTTCTATTGGTGGCTTGTTAAAATCACTAAATTCTAATGTACTATGTCCCAAAACACACTAGAGAAAACCATTTTTTAAAAGATGATGGTTTGTAATGTTTGTAATAGTATTTGTAGCGGAAACCATTATAATTTCTGTGGTTTCTATTGTTTTGTTTTTTTCAGCAGGGTATACTGGGTCATGGATGTGCAGGATGATTACTGACGTACAGCAGGGTGATCACATCGGAGTAAAGAGGTTAAGGAAATGTTATACCTGTGTTATGGGAACCTTAAATTAACATTTTAACATTTAAAATATCATTATACAAACCAAAAACTAAAGTTTTATTTCTGTTAAGAAGATTTTCTTGGCCAACCAAACACAAACCATAAAAAATAACGTATCGGGAACCAAAATTGTTTTCTGGGAGTAGACTTAAATATATTCATAAAATTATAATTGCCTGAAAAAACAGCTTAATTACAGTAACATGCCAGTCAAGGTAGGTCAAGTCAAGTCAAGTCACCTTTATTTATATAGCTGTAATTTGATTACTTTTTTAAATAACGGAGTAATTTAATGCGTTATAATTTATAAAAAAGTAATTAGATTATGTTATAAGCCAAGGTCTCTATACTTTACCGCTGCGTTACATGATTGCCAACAGAATGCAATGTTTTATCATCTGGAGGAGCACACGCAGCGTCCTCTACCTGAGACCTATATATATATATATATATATTATAAACCTATATATTTTCCAGCGATATCTTCGACTTGATTGCACAGATACTTTGCTGGTTTAAGCTGGTCTTTTGTTGGTTTAAACTAGCACATGGCCAGCATAAACCAGCAAAATTACCAGCATAAACCAGCAAAGGACCAGCTTAAACCAGCAAAAGGACCAGCTTAAACCAGCAAAGGACCAGCTTAAACCAGCATCCCAGCGTCAAAACATACCTAACCAGCATATGCTGTTTTTTTCAACAGGGCAGTAGAGCAATATTTGCTTGTTCGGTAAATTTCACTGTAAATCAGTAACAGTTTTGCAGCAGGCTTTGCAAACAGACTATTACTGTAAGATATAAACCTGACAGCATTGTCACAACATGGAAGTAAACTTGTTTATTCTAATGTCTGATCTGTGATCAGCGATTTCTAATATGTAATTATTCAAGTCAGATTTTATTTGTCTATTTTTTTTAGTTTGTATGTATGTGCGTGTGTGTGTTTGTCAGTAAATCAAGCCAGTGACCAAACGTAACATTGTTTCTTCTAATAGCATCAGCTTTTTGCTGGCCAAAT